CAGCTCACACACTAGCCAAAAATTAATACCCACGTATGTGAAACTCAACCTTATTTTCACTGCTATGGTGTAGTGAAGCGGTCTTTCCAGAAAAATAAGCATGGCGTTGGAATCTTGAAAACTTACGCTATTGAATGCTCGCTTATAAATTGAGGAAAGAGCTCTGTCTTGCCAGAAATATGCGTCTGTGAAGCACAAATGCCTTTCTCTGCTGCGGCGCCGGTAGAAGGCCTTCTCAAAGAAAGAGAGCGTAGCGCAGTAGCCAGAGACTCTTATTAAGTGTCCTTGTCCGGCGGAAAGGATCAAATCCTCATTTTTCACCCTATAACAAACAAGTACCGAGAAGCCCTCTAAGTGTCAGTAACGGCGTGAAATTGAAACCCGAGTATCTCACACGGCTTATATTTTCGCGCATATTTCCGTATTAGATTTGTAGAAGAACCTGTGTTCTATCGCTCTACAAGACTTAAGCATCTATTCTAATTCTGCATGACCCGAATAAACCCGCTACTAGGCTTGAGCTCTTCTTTTCACCCCTCCAGTGTTCTATGGAGACCTTCTCGAGAACCCACATCGGCTTCACAATCATTTAAGTTCGTGCCAGTCTGGGAGATCGTCCACCCTCCTACCCCTCCTCTTCTTCCAACCACCTCGGTGCCATTTGTCCCAAAAATTAGCTTTTAGATTCCATACCTTTGGAGCAATCAAACGATTACCAAAACTATATTGTAGACTCAAGCATAAACGACATCGTAACATGCAAAGAACTCCGAAGGCGAAACGCAATTTTTGGTCACCGTTCTTATAGTTCATTAAGACACTACAGTTGTTATTAAATTCGAAAAAACTAAGTTAATATTTATAAGCGTCATTTCTCAAGCTATAGGGTAATCACTAAAACTTTGACGAACTTTTTTTGTCCGATGAAAAGACGAAGAATAACCGAGTGCAAATCTCAAAATCTCCAATCAATTCAATGCAAAACTACAACTCACTGCGCTGGTGAATCGGCTTGAAAATTTCTTTATTCCTAGAAACTGACAGAAAAGTTCAAGTCTATTTAGTTATCGTATAGCCTGAATCTCTAAATTTCGATGAGGTAATTAATTTTCTGAAAGGTATCGCAGAACGCTGTAAGTGCAGAAAGAAGATCACATTTCACGCCTGAAATGTCGCTCCCACGCTTTGACGTCATTGATATTTTATTGGTGATTATAGGTGAAGTTTATGTGTTAGGGGTATCTTGTCATTACATAAAGAGCGCAATATCACATATAAATTTTTTACAAAGGTTTTTTTATGTGAAGAGTGATTAGTTCTTCTGGAGTGCTTCATTTTCCAGCGGTAATGCCACGTCCTTTCAAAGAAGTAAACAAAATTTCAACCCCTATTGCGCATTTGTATCGCCTGTCCTGCGAGAACGTAGCTTGAAAGCACATCTTGTGGAACTAAACATTACTGATAGAGCTCTATATGGAGGTAATTCTATAACGTAACTGGAGTAAGTGCAGGAAGAGGCCCGTATGCATTGCGTGTGATATGGTACTTCCCCTGTCAGCAGCTAGGTCTAAAAAAAATCGTACTTTTCACTCCTTCTGCACATTTTAGTAGCTATTCGTAAGCTTGAGTCACAGTAGTTTGAAAGGCATATTTTAAATCCCAGGTCCGACTATCTATTAACCTCGGCATAGTTTGAATAATTCAGTATCTTCTTCTGTTTAGCCGCTCCGAGGTGTTAGTACTATGATTTATTGAATATCAGCGGAGCATATAACAATACAGTTAATAATGCAGCACGAATATTACAACAGTCGTGGTGGCTTACGTTTCGGCAAGGTTCGCCATCTTCAGAGCCTGGAAAGGTCAAATTGATTCGCAAGTTATTAAATCAAAGGCCTCCATAATCCTAGCAGAAAACGTAAGAGATAAATTTTTGGGTCGCATAGGAATAACTTCATTTCAAAAACACTCACCTTTTAGATGTTTTAGGTCTTTCAATTAATCATTGAAGACCTGCCACTTGGAGTCTATGATAATATGAGACTGGGCCTGGCTCAGGTCGGAAATATCAGCCTGAGGTAAGGAGCTAGGTCACGCGTTATTATGAGGCATTCCTCTTTTCGGTTCATTTTTGGGCCTTTGCTATGTATCCAAAAGGCTTCCAAAGTTTTGTGCGTGAATGTTTTCGATTCCTGTGCAAGGACCGTGAGTTTGACGTCAAAATCTGCTCCTTCATGCTTCTGCTCCTTATGCGTGCCTAGTGGGGTTTTTGGGTCGCAGTTACGTTTCCCAGCTAGGTGCTCTTTTACGCGGATGCAGAGTGGTCTACCCGTTTCGCCAATATATTCATCCCCGCATGCCTCGCAAGAGATCAGGTAAACTGTACCTGACCTCATGCAGTCGCCGTCTCTGCCGTTGGGGCAAACTTTGCAGTCGTTGGTTTCGCAGAAAAGAGCATAAGCATAAGGAACAGAAGCATGAAGTAGCAGATTTTGACGTCAAATTCACGGTCCTTGCACAGGAATCGAAAACATCCACGCGCAAAACTTTGGAAGCCTTTTGGATACATAGCAAAGGCCCAAAAATGAACCGAAAAGAGGAATGCCTCATAATAACGCGTGACCTAGCTCCATACCTCAGGCTGATATTCCCGACCTGAGCCAGGCACAGTCTCATATTATCATAGACTCCAAGTGGCAGGTCTTCAATGATTAATTGAAAGACCTAAAACATCTAAAAGGTGAGTGTTTTTGAAATGAAGTTATTCCTATGCGACCCAAAAATTTATCTCTTACGTTTTCTGCTAGGATTATGGAGGCCCTTGATTTAATAACTTGCAAATCGATTTGACCTTGCCAGGCTCTGAAGATGGCGAACCTTGCCGAAACGTAAGCCACCACGACTGTTGTAATATTTGTTCTGCATTATTAACTGTATTGTTATATGTTTCGCTGATATTCAATAAATACTATTAATAACACCTCGGAGCGGCTAAACAGAAGAAGATACTGAATTAGGCATATTTTATTTTATTTTAGGTTTTTATATTACACTGTAACAGTAAAGACAAAATGTTATTCAACACTCGAGCATCTTTCGATCAAAAAGGCTTTTCCTCAAATAAATCACCAGTTTTTCGATTGCGCAAATCTCGGAAAACTAACTAGTATTTTATGTTTTCCAAAGAATCTCTTTATTGCGCAGCAACACTGGAATTGAGATTGCATTTCACATGCGGCACGTATGCCTCCCACCGGTATGTGGATGGATAGTGCAACACTGGCATCAAACAGTCGTCGTTAAATAACCATTCGACACACCAAATCTCGAAATTCTAATGGCTTGCTTGTCTTTTGAGAAAAGTCTCTTTTCCGAGCTGTAGCATCAAGAACAAAACTGTGTTGCACGTCTGAGTATTTTTCGCTATGCACGGTTTTTCTCCCAATTTTTATACCCACTCGATAGCGCAAATCTTAGCAATTTCAATAAAATGCCTAGTTTTTTCAAAAATGGTTCTTAGTATGTCGCTACATGTATAAGAAAATTGGGTTTTACACTCGTTACTAACCGCACACCACTTGTAAATTGCGCTGCGCTATCGACACGGCGCCGAGTGTGAAACTCAATAACCTTTTCGCTGTGACAACGCACTAAAACGTCCTTCTCAAAAACCAAGGTTTTCATTGTGATCGCTGAGATTTTTGCTATCGAATGTCTATTAAAGTCTGAATGAGAGCCTCTGTCCAGCGAAAGATGCCTAAAGGTGAATGAAAATTTTACTTCATCTTCACACTATATTATAAAAACCATTGTGGAAATAGAACACCCCTTCGGATTCTCGATATTCAAGCTGTCAAATAACTACTAAAACCTCAGAACGGGTCAAGAAATAGCTTTATTTGAAAATGGGTGGGATAGAGGAAAAACACCGAGAACTCTTCTCTGGACACACATATTTGTGACCGATAGCTTGCATAATGCCGATGTTCTAAGCCTTGTATTCCACGACGGTTGTCCCTTCCCACTCGGAATTCTTCCACTATCCATAAGTACTCAGCCTTTCTTCAAGTAAGTGTCCCACTCAGAATTCTTCCATTGTAGATAAATTCTCAACCTTTTCCCATGTAAGTGAACTTTGATTAATTGCAAATAAACGAATTACTGATATAATTTTAGTCATAGTGGGGGTTTTCGATGAACAGGTATCGAATACAGCATGAATCATCATTTTTGACAAATTAGTAGCAGTTCATCAATTTTCATTTACTGTAATGACTTTGGATTTTGTACAAAACTAGGAAGAAGCATAATTAATTCCTTGTGGTCACCTTTGTACAGTCTAATACATCATTTGAAAGCCAAATACAGTACGATTGCGTAGTAAACCAGTATTTTTCTCTGCAGAAGACAAGTATCCAAGAATTTTTCCTAGACGAAAAAAAAGTCTCAATCAAACAACGAAAATCGCGCTATTCGCTCTGCGCGCTGCGATTTTATAGCCGTCCGTTAGGGGTTGAACACTACCTAAGCCGCCCGCTTTGATCTGTCAACTCTGAAGTGGAATCGTTCATCATGTTGACTTCCTGACCTATGTAGACGTAACTGAAGCATTCGGAAATGATATTCCGTTGAGTCTTAATTGAAAACCGATCCGTTCTCAAGAATCGTGTTTTCGTGAGATTTCTTTGGAAGCCGATCTTTCCACGAGCGTTGTCGAAAACAGTAAACATACTCAAAATTTCTAGTGTTCTACTGCATTTTTCGCAGTTTTATAATGTTTCGTATATACCTAAGAGAACTGAGTGGTGAGCAAAAATACGGCCTCATAAAACTGCTAAAAATGCCGTAACAATACTAGAAATTTCGAGTATCAGTTCTTACAATGGCTGTCAGCTCAACTGGGTTTATATAGCGAAGTCGCATTCCTGATCAAATCTGTTGAAGGTTGGTGGCTGATAGCTAACATGGAGATGTTGAAGAATTAGTGGCGGCGCAAATGTGCCTTAGTGGTGTAGTGGTAGTAGCACGCGTCACCGGTGTGGATGAAACGAGGGTTCAATTCCCGGCTGAGGCCGTGTTCTTGCTCACCACTCAATTCTCTTAGGTGTATACAGTACACATAGGTCCAGCTTCGTTCATGATCGGCATTATGAGAACGATTTCACCAGCAAATGATAGATGATGTTATTGTCGACTATCGATTTTCACTCCCGTGTTGTACCATTGTTATCTTTATATGAAGTTATGGAGGGTAGTAGCGAGTAATATTGTGAGATGTTTTCGACTTTTCGAGTCTATCTTTTTACAGCGGCAGTATATCGTTGAAGAATGATGATATTTTGGCTACGAAATCCTTATATGCGGAGGAATTCATGTTTAATGACTAAGGATAAGCCCTGCCGTGTGAAGCTTCTATAAATGCTTCAGATTTAACAGAATCGATGGCCTGTTTCAAATCGATGAAAATGAGACATAGCAGTCCCTGTGTCAATTTTTGTGTCGGTAAAACAGAAGCACGCAGTTCACCCTTGGCATCCACGTATGAGTTGAGCACAGGGTCGCTTCTAGTTAGCATTACTCTCCACCTACACACCAGGAGGGATGTGCAGCGTAGCCTCGTGACCGGCCGGCTGGGTATTCATCGATAGAGAAGATCCGTTTTAGTGTAGGGCAAATGTACGGTGCTTAAAATATGTTTAATTGTACTCATGATATCACTCGCGTACTAAGTGAACTTTCTTAACTCTAGTGAATTATTTCCTTATAATACTGCTTAGCAAATATTGACGAGTTTTATACACTACCAAATAATCAATCGTAAGCTTGCTAGGGGGAGAAAGGGATCAGGAGTCCTAGTGCGAGTTGAGTGAGATTATCCACAGATTCGAATAAAATCCTGTTCAAACACTTGTAATCAGTTCAAGAACATTTGAGGAAACTGAGAGTCTCTACTTCCTTCCTCGTTCACAATCACTCGACAGAACTTAGTCGCTGGAACTGGTAGCCGTAGTCAATCACGCTCTGAAAGATCTAATATTCAAAGCTATCAATTTCCATTCGATCCATAATAGCTGGAATCCAACCTTGCTAAGAGCGAGAACACACTACTACGTGTCGGGGATCGTTTGCTCAAATACTTTGTCGCTTTGTCACACCACGATAAGTGTCGTTGATTATTAAACGGTGAACTACAGCAGTGGGCTAAGCTTATCCATGAATTCGCTTACTGAGAACTAAACAAGTACTCTAATATGAGAGAGCAGCTGAGAGGAAACCACTGTCAGAGATTAGTGTCATTCCGCCACAAGTTATAAATGTTTTAATATTGCCATTACTATTCAAAAGCCTTTACGTAAATGTGAACACCTCTACATTACATTGACATTCTAATGTGGAGGATAGATAAACATGAACTATTCCTATTTGCCGATTGTCAATAAATAGGAAGCAACATTCCATTATATACTACCAGCGTGTACATTGCAACAAGCATCAAACAAGACAAGACTGATATAGTGACCAGAACGGAACAATACAGGGTCAAAGAAAACATAGTGTAATATGATCATATCAGCATAACAAAATAAGAAACTTCTAACGAACACAGAAGTTCTGGAAAGGAAAAGTCTGAATAAAAAAGGCAAAGAAAAGCGAGGAAATAAGTTTCACTCCGAGGCGAAACGCTGAATTTTCATGGTTAACATATTGCCAAAGAGAAATGGACTGAATTCGAACAAATGAAATGGCAAAAGACAAAAAAACAAAGCGTGTTTGAGTGCAAACCGCATAGAATATCTGCGGTATTATGGTTTTGGAGTGAACGCACGATAGCATAAGAAATCCGAGCATAGGATTAACAATACTAACATTCTTTGTCATAGCAGAGAAGAATACAACATCACCACGACGAAACGTCAAGGCTAATTCCTCCGGATGTGAAGCGAGCATGTCCAGTTATGACGATGACAATAGAACTTGCCAATTCCGTGAAGAGCATAGTAGCTGGCGCCTCGAAATAAACGGTAAAGCGTAATAAACTCGAAGATAAGTAAAACTATATGCACTTACTGGGCTCAAAGCGTAACATCATATGGGAGTATGACAGAATTTTGATCACTTGTTAACAAAATCCGAGTCAATAAATGAAGATGTAACCTTGGCGATACAATCTTACCTTAACAGCTTGCACGGCGAATTCCTGTACAGGTGGTGAGTAGACAAGAACACCAGGCTCCAGTTCCTCATGTGGGAAAATAGGTGGATCTTTCATGATATATGTTAAGCTAGAGCAAAGTGTCTGGATATCCTTATATTTCGGCGTCAAACCTGCCCGAACTGTGTTGTCCGAACAAGACATACATTCAATACAGTCTGGAAAGAAATTTTGTTTTTTAAGACAATTAAAAGTTAATACAAATAATAACATCTGAAGACATGCGAAATGAAGGAGAGTGTGCAACAGTAAACAAAAAAAATTCATACGATTAACCGCGTGAAGCTATGATGCAACACCTCTTAAAAGGTCATAATGAGAGACAATAGAGATTATACAAGGGTTGGACAGATCAGCTACAAGAAATTCCTTGAATTCCTCACTATATTCCGCTACAAGCTCCTTTGTTAGGAGAAAGACTTCAGATCGTATAGAAACGAAAGTTCAACTGCAACTGAACTCTCTCTCTGTCTCTCTCTCTCTCTTCTCTTCTCTCTCTCTTTCTCCAAACATTGTATATCCAAAAAAGACTGTAAGTGAAGATAATAAAATAAAAAAACAATAACCTCCAGATAAATAAGCGCGTGGTTCATTAGGTCCAAGAAATGTTGCTTCACCAGGTCTTAATGAGAAAAAATTCAGAAGAAGAGGAGCAAACACACCAGCATCACCTAAACATTTTAACACCTTCATATTGCCTTCTATTTATTCCTAATTAGAAAAGCTGATAAGTGAGCGAAAATAAAAATTACTACTGCACTGCACAAAAGAAAGGAAATAATTCACCAGGAAACTCCTTGTCCAATCGAATAATCAGCTGATTCAAATTGTTTGGTTCTTCTGAAAAGAAAATTTCCAGTTGAAATCTTCCAAAAGCTCACACTCAATAACGATCGTTGAGAAATATTCTCCTACTACAGCTGATAGACATAGCACCAAAAAAAATTGGATAGAACTCACCTTTCTTGATTCGACTGACTAGGTCATGAACAGCTTCTGGTGATCGCTTCTGGTGATGAGCTCCATATTTTTGTAAAGATATTTCTTAGTGTTTTGGTAGATACAGATTCATCGTAAGACAAAAGTTCTTAATGTCATCACAATCACCTATAAGTCCTAAAACTTCTGGAGCACCTGCAAGTAAGAAAAAGAATTCGAAAGAGAACAACCACTCAAAAATACAGTTCTTAAGGACATGAGGAAAAAAATATATAGGTTTACCATTGAGATTTTCATATATTTCCGTAGCACGGCGAAAACTACAAAGAAGTTCGAAATCGGTCAACGCAATTGCCATCTCAGGCTTGTGATTTGGATCTGGATAGTTCAATGGATCTTTGCATGCAATACGACAGCTTCTCCCTCAAACAGACTTATGAAATCGTTGTCGAGATAATGAACGAACACAAGATATATTAAAACAAAGGTTGAATATTTGAGGAAAACAAGTATTTAGCAGTTGGCGCAAACGGAACAAATTTGCAACTACAAGAACTTCCTTTCGGTACAATTTGGTGATAACAATTCAATTTTCAACCCTTAGGAGAGAAGGCCTTCTCCTTTTTTTTTGTCCAGACTTTTAGACACCATTCCATAGCTCAGATCTCCATTTCATTTTAATTCCAATGCTTTGCTTGTTCTTGGGAAAGACCTTGTTACTGCACTGTAGGTGCAAAAATGATATTGGTTTTACAGTCGGCGCGCATAATGATGCGTATATCCGTACTTCATATGAAACTTTTTCCTCTGATTCGAAGAAATTTCGAGTGCCCCGTTCAAGAGATAACAAGAAACTTTATTCTACTGTTCTATAAGCCTAGGCATCTATTATCACCTTGAAGTACTAAAAGAATCCGTTACTAAACCCAAACTTGAACGGTCTAAGCTAAAAAATGCGCATTGTATCTTCTCACTCTCACAGCGCTTTAGGTAGACCTTTTCAAAAGCTAACCTTAGTTTCAGAATAACCCAAATTTATGCTATCAAATAAAACCAAAAGTCTGCTTGCCCTTTGAGGAACACGTGCTACGAAATGTAGCACTGCGAGCGACATCGCGTTTCACTCACTGTATTTGGCGGCGTCGTGTCTCCTCATGAAACTGCATTGCTGCACACCGCAATGGAATTGAGAGGACTTCTTAGGAAAATTGAGGTACTGAGGAAATATTATCATCAATAAATGATAGAATATCTTTGGAAAGGCTTCATATAAGAATATCTTTGGATAGAATGAACGTCCATACGTCAAAAAATCTCTTGAGCTTCATCGAAAAAACCACATTGTTGTGAAAGGAACATATTTTTAGCTTACATATCTATCACTTTCCTAGCCGATATTTTTGTAGTCATTCGAAACTTGAGAAATGCCGATTTCTATATCAAGCTTGGTTTCTGAAAGGGTCTTTATAATAAGTTCTACTAACCGATAAAAGATAACGTCTTACTTTCAGAGTGCGTTGTTTGAACTTTAGAACGGACCTTTTGGTGTAACGTAGCGGATTTGGCTATAAGGAAACTTTATTGCTATGAAAAGATAGAATATCACTGAAGGAATTTCAACAAACATATTTTGAGCAGAAAAAAGCCTTGGTGTCCTCAAAATTTCTACTTTTCATTACGAATTGTGTGGAGTGCAGTCGTATCCTATGGACTGAACTTGCGTATCCTTAGCTTTTTTCGGAATAAATTTTGTTGCTAGACCATTAGTAATCATTCGAAAGCTTGACAAATGAAGATTTTAGTACTTACCCTTGACTACCAATAGAGATTTTCATAGTACGCTCTAAAAACAAAAAGAAGACGACGTTCCGCTTTCGGAATGCGCTTTTTTAATTGCACAGCGGATTTCTTGCTATTATAAA